ATTCAAATTATTTTTGCAGAATTTAGTTTTGTCACGGACGGAATTGGTAATTTTTCACCGTAGAAAATCATCGTCCCTGATCCCGCGCGGAATCACGCGCGGATCACGCGCGTGCCCATCTCTATATATATTACAGTATTACGAAAATAGTAAAATTACAAAAAAAAATTTTTTGTGAATACTTAAATACTCGATTAGTTTAAAACATTGATCGATAATCGATTTCCATCTACATAATAGTGAAAAAAAATTTTATTGAAAAAGATTGTACGTTTTTCTTGAATAAGACCCAATACTATATGCAGTAGCCAATGGTAATTTCTCGTTTAAATTTCACATGATCAAAACTACTTGGAATTCAATAGCTTGACAAAAATTTCTCAGACTTATAAATAAGTGACGCGTTAATGTTTATGTAGATAAAATTATGTGATTTTCACATTGAATCAAATAATTATCATATTTTGATAATTTATAGGTTCCGAAAAAAGATTGTGACCTGGTATGTAAGATTTAAACCTGAAAACTTTATATACTACTTTGACATGTTATCTTAATAATAATATTTTTTACCGTATAAATGCGAAATAACGTTATTTTGAAAATCAGAACCCAAAAATAGCATATGTGGTCTCGAATTAAAACTCATGAGCGTCCTGAATTAACGCTGCATCTTAATATGATATCCTTATATAAAAAATAAAACGTGCACCAGAACTAGGTTTGATACTTAGTAAATCTACTTTCGAGCTTTAACAAAAGTTGTTCTTCACATTGAGACGATTCTCGATGTGAATACCAACTTTTGTTAAAGCTCAATGGAGATTTGCTTAGTACCAAACCTGGTTCTAGTGCATTTTTTCAATCCTAATTATGATTAAAGGGGTGTACAGTAATCTAAAAAATCAACTCTTATTCGAAATAACGTCCATGGGCATGCTCGAAATAACACGCAGGTGAGCATTATTTCGCTTATACGATAGTATATACTGTATTTATATCTTATTCACATATTGACAGTGTTTGTATTTGACAATGTCCAAATAAATCTAATTGATTTTTGGACATTTGGACTATGCCCAATTTGTTCATTTATTTCAAATAATTTTTTTGGGCCATTAGACATTGGACAATGTCCAATAAAATTACAAAATTAATGGGGTTGAGTTAATAGAAACCAAGCAAATAATTTTAATAAGTTTTTTAAAAACTTTAAACAAGAATAACTTAACAAAAACTTAATCAAATTTAATAAAAATTTTTTTAAATAATTTTTACAAACCTGTAGAATTAATTTAAAAAAAGTCTATTGAGATTGATCAAGTTTTTGTTCAGTTATTTTTGTTTAAAATTTCAAAAAAACTTATTAAAAAATATGTGCTTGGTTTCTATTGACTCAACCTCATATATAGAAAGTTATTATAAAAAAACATTATATAGCTATATTTTAATTTTTAAATTATTTTAAAAAGTAGATTGTAATTTTAAATATATTTAACTAATAAGTTTTTTTAAAAATATGCTTAATTTATATATCCAAATATATATCTAATTTATACAATTTTTATATATCAATTTTTTTGTTGGCAACTTTGTTGTTTTTATAATAAAATTTTATATAATTTGTTAAATATAGCATCAAAAATTAAAAATAATAGAATTAATGAATTTAGGATACAAACTGCTTTTGTCAATATGCCTTTCGAAGTTTAAAGTCTATGCCATAGAGCAAAGAAAATTTAAAAGATCTTGAATTAGGGTATATTGCATAGAAATATTCTCTTTATTGCTATTTGGGTCAGAATTAGGGTTGAAGTATTGCGTTTATAAAACCATTATTTATTGCGAAATTTTAATAAAGTCATACTGTCTAATTGAATATTACCTAATTGCTTATATTTTTTAAATGCATAAAAAATTTTGGTTTTTTAATTATAAAAGGTCTTTGATGAATGGCATGAATTAGACAGTATTGACTGTATAATATATTCCCAGTTCTACCCAAACCCTAAATCTCATTACACTTGTTTTAATTGTACGCGGGAAACTATCACCGCCGGTGGCAAATACTTATCTTTTTATTAATCATATATAACAATCACATACGAAAAGGAATTAATATTTGGCCTTTAATAAGTATGATTCAATTAATGATCAATCTCTTACATTATTATTAGTATATATTCAACATTAATATTGCATCAAATTAACGATTTGACTTTTTTTCTTTCTTTTCTTTTTTTGCACGCTTCTTTGCTTTTTTCTTTTCTTTTTTTAATTTTTTGATAAGATAATCTCTCATTGGATCATCTGGATCAAATTTATCAGCAAACTCATCTTCAGAATCAGAATCGGATGATTTTCCTTCATCTTAGACATTATATTTAACAAAGAGGAACAATTAATACTTTGTAAAAATAATAAGTGATTTGACTAAAATAATGCAATTACCTTTGATTGATTGTGGAGCGGCATTCATTCCCGTCCTACGCCGCCCATCTTTCGTCTCAGCACTTGCATGATCTACTCGTATCGTACGCCCTAATAACTACGGCGCAATTTTAATAAGTTACGTTCATATTAATGATTTAATCTTTAGTTCTTACTTGAATATTATTCAAATTGTCAACGGCTAGAACAGTACTTCTTTGGTCTTCATATTTCAAAAAAGCAAATCCTTTAGACTGGCCCGTACTTTTATCACGAGCTAGTTGTATGTCCAAAATTTCTCCATATCTATAAAAGATATTAATTTAGAAACGGCTAGTGGAGACAAAAGCAAAATAAGATAAATATCACTTACTGAGAAAATACTGCAATTAAATCACCTTCTGTCAAGTCAAAGGGAACGTTTGCAACAAATATATAAGGGGAATCTTTATATTGTGCATGCCACGATCCCGACGCGGAGATATTACGTTCTATTTCTTGGGAATTAATACGTTGAATTTCTTTCGTTACACTTAAAAGATTGACAAAAAAAATACATAAGGATAAATTGATGTAAAAAAATAATATATAATATAAATTTAAAATAAAAAAACTAACTTCATTTTTTGGCGGTTGATTCTTGAAATCGTAACTAATAGCGGCAAAAAGTTAATTAATAACGGTTGGAAGACTAAATTTTATATAATTTCTAATAATAAAAAATTCACTGAATAATATAACTGGCTCCATGGTCTAGTAGTATGATTCTCGCTTTGGGTGCGAGAGGTCGTGGGTTCAATTCCCGCTGGAGCCCCGTTTATTTTTGATTTTTTGCAGGTTTTTTTTTTCCAAGAAATTGAATTGTTTTAAAGCATTGAATTCCTGACAAGTTTAGAAAGCATTGTTTGTGTTAATTTGCACAATATTTCCTTAAGCAAACCATAATAATGACATTGACAATGATTGTAATTATGCACATCACACTATGTTCTAATATACCAGCCTATTTGTGTACCTTTGGTGTCAATATAAAAAAAACCATCAACAGTAACTTCATTTTACACCGCCACAGTCATCTTTTATCTAAAACGTCGCAAAGACTCTAAACTTTCACCTTTACTTAATTTTTTAATTTCAAGATGAGTAAGGACGACGAGTATGATTATCTTTTTAAAGGTATGGCGCATAGTATTTTTTTTTTTTTTTTTGTGGTTAAGAAATATTCGTTTACGGAAGAAAGTTCTCATCCGGTTCTTTAATTTGGCCACTCGCCATGTATCATTTTCTTGATGACACCGAGTGTCATTGTTTTAAAATCGCTATGTTATTTTTACAAACTATTAAACAAAGCCATACAGCTTGTATTTCTTTGAGTTTTAAAAAACTAGCCCGCAGATGGCGCATTATCTAATATTAGCTTAATTTCTTCTTTTTAGTTGTCTTAATTGGTGACTCTGGGGTTGGTAAATCCAATCTTCTTTCACGTTTCACTCGTAATGAGTTTAATTTGGAGTCCAAATCTACTATCGGTGTCGAATTTGCAACCAGGAGTATCCAAGTAGATAATAAAACTATCAAAGCACAAATTTGGGATACTGGTATTAATTTTAAGATAGTACGTCAATTCATTCATTCATTCTAAACTATGGTGCTGATAATTAATTATTTCCTAAAAGCTGGTCAAGAGCGTTATAGAGCTATTACAAGCGCGTGAGTAATCTTTATTTAATTGCATCAACTCAATGTTTCAGACATATTTAAATTTGTGACTTTTTACAGATATTACCGTGGTGCTGTTGGTGCTTTACTTGTTTATGATATTGCCAAACATGTAACATATGAAAATGTCAACCGTTGGTTGAAAGAATTAAGGGATCATGCTGACAGTAATATTGTCATTATGCTTGTCGGAAACAAGAGCGATTTAAGACATTTGAGAGCAGTTCCTACTGAAGAAGCCAAGCAATTTGCCGGTATGTTTATGTTCATACTTATTAGTACACTTTTTTTTTTTTCTTGTCGTCGTTTCATTAAATGTTCTCATATCATTACAAACTCTTTAGCGGAAAACAATTTGTCTTTCATTGAAACCTCCGCCTTGGATGCTAGCAACGTAGAACTTGCTTTTCAAAATATCCTAACAGGTAATTCCTTTTTTTTTATTTCATTTTAGCTCGTTAATTTGTTACCGCCTTGTCTCATTGCCATAACATTTCACCTTTCAGAAATATACCGTATTGTATCTAATAAGGCTTTGGAAATTAACAGTGGTGATGTTGCCAGACCGACTGCTGGAGAGACTATCCAAGTTACTTTACCCGATGACAACAGCAAGACAGCTGCAAGATGTTGCTAGAATAACTTGGGCAATTACATCAACTCTTACCTAGCTGTTCAACTTTTTCGTGGATACAATTAGTGTCTTTATTTTGTTATACGTAACTCTTGTAATGTTAGTTTACCATTGATTTAATTCTTATTGTTATTAAGGTTTATAAATGTTATATCCTGCTTTAGGATAATACCTGTGAGTAAACATTACAGGCAAATAGAACACCTCTGGTATTTAAATCTGATTTTGTATCGAGGAATTATATACATTAAATATTATGCTATGAACGCTTTCTTTTAAAATTTAAACAAAATAACTTTTCATAACTTCAATTTTGATATAATAACTACAAATAACACTGATCTTGGACCATTGGTTGAACATAAATCATTATAAATATGCGGAAATTGAGCAGTTAAAGTACAAAACCAATGTACTGTACTATATACAGTAAGACCTCTCTAAGTGCACACCATCGGGACTATAGTAAAAAAAAAAAAAGCAAAATGCGCACTTAAATAGAGTGTGCATTTATAGAAAGCAAAACATATAGTGCTCTTATAAGTTGGGGCCAAGATATGCCGTGCATTTAGAGAGAATTTTAATAGAGTTTGTAATGATATGAGAACATTTAATGAAACGACGACAAGAAAAAAAAAAAAAAGTGTACTAATAAGTATGA